GCCTGTAATTTATTTTATTAGTTTCTTAATTTATTTCAGTTGTAATTTATATTCTGGAAACTCCATTCTGTGGATCAGACTCCCAAAGTATAAAAATAATTGCTCCAGTTTTAATTCCAAAATGTTCAAAAATCAAATGCCCTTTCGACTAAATGGTGACTTTTTCCCTCTTGCTATGTTCTGAATGCTTTGTCTCTGCCCAGAATTATATGTTGAAACCATCTCCCCTAAGGTGATGATCTTAGGATGTACTGCTTGTCCAGAACAAGAAGCAAGATACCCCATTTATTACAATCCTCCTTAGCAGATTCAGTTTAGTTTTGTCTGAAAACTAACGCAAAACTAAGACTTGGGAGGTGATTACCTCATGAGGATGGAGCCTTCAGGAATGGGATAAGGGCCTGTTAAGGGTTGGATGGGAGGTGTTCCCCAAAACCTGTGAGACAGGTGCGAGAATGTTCAGAGGTGAAATGATTAGATTAGGGGAGTTGTGAACTAATCTGTGGATTGATCCACTGATACAGATTAGCTGGGTGGTAACAAGAGGCAGGTAGGATATGATTGCTTTAGGGTTGACATTTTGTCCTGGGTGAGTGGAGTACTCTCTTTGCTTCCTGGATGCCATGCCCTCAGCTGCTTTCCTCCTCCACACCCTTCTGCCATGATGTTCTGCCTCACCTTAGAACTATGGAGGCCACCAAGCCTGGACTGAACCTCTGAAACATGAGCCAAGATAAACTTCCTCCTCTAAGATTTTTTTTAAATATTTAGTTTTTAGTTGTAGTTGGACGCAAGACCTTTATTTCACTTATTCATTTTTATGTGGTGCTGAGGATCGAACCCAGGGTCTCACATGTGCAAGGCGAGCGCTCTACCGCTGAGTCACAACCCCAGCCCCTCTAAGATTTTTCTTGTCAGATATTTTAGTCACAGCCATGCTAAGCTGATCAAAATAGTGCCCTTAAAAAAGAGAACCCAGAAAGCTTCCTCATCCCTTTCCCTAGGTGAGGAGACATCAAAAAAGGTTGTCATCTGTGAAGAAGTAGACCCTCAACCAACACAAAATCTTCCAGAGCCTTGATCAAAGTCAAGCCTTTCTAGCTTCCAGAACTGTGAGAAATAAGTTTCCTTGGTTGTAAGTCAACTATCTATGGTATTTTATTATAGCAACCCAAATGGAATAAGATGCCTAGTATAACTGAGATCAATATTTCCCAGATGCCCATTAACTCAGGTCCCTAGTCATGGCAGTATTGGGAACTGATGAAACCTTTAAGAGATTGGACCTAGTTGGAAGTCTTCTGGTCACAAGGGAGGATGCCCTTAAAGGGGATGTGCATAGTCAGCCCCTTGCTATCTCTCTTTCATGTCTTAGCCATAAGATGAGTGGTTTATTCTACCACATGTTGCTTCACCACAGGCCCCAAAGCAACTGGACCAATCCATCTTGGACTGAAACTTGTGAGACCGTGAGCCAAAATAAACCTTTCTTCTTTTTAAATGGGTTATCTCATTTATTTGATTATAGTATTAGAAATCAGACTAAAACCACACCTGGGCTACTCATAATTCAGAAACTGCTTGTCCAGCTTCACCTGCACTGTAATTCCGGGAGCAGAGCCTAGACAGATGTTTGAAAGGCTATGGCACAAGCAACGATGCCATCACTGTAAAGGCAATATGAAAAGTATTCACCATGAAAAGGAAAATACAATTTCTTTGGTGAAAAGAACAACGAGGAAAAAAATAAGAAATTGTATATTTAGGTGTAAGTGAGACGAAAAGAAATATAAGTTTAGTAAGAATCAAGTAAACAAAGCAGGAAGTAGTTGGTGTGATTCGGATTATGGGGTTTAAACTAAGCTAATCAGGTTTAAATCTCTAGATATTAATCTTAAAGCTTCAGTCATTTCTTCTAAGCACTGTTAAGGTCTGAATTGTGTACTCCCCAAATTCACCTGTTGAAACCCCAAGACCCAGGACTTCAAATTGTAATTGTATTTGGAAATAGGGCCTTTGGGAGTTAATTAAGCTAAAATGAGGCTATAGGGATGGGCACTACTCCAATATGACAGGCGTCTTTACAAGGAAAAAAGATTAGGACCCAGACGCTCAGAGGGGCAACAATGTGGAACACATAGGAAAAGGCATCATCTGCAAGCCCAGGAGAGAGGCCTCAGAGAAACCAGCCCTATGGACACCTTGATGTTGGAATTCCAGCCTCCAGGTCCCCCAGAAGGAATCTCAGCCATGTAAACTGTATAGTCTGTGGTACTTTGTTATGACAGGTCTGGCAAACCAACCAAAACAAGCACAGTGTCCCAAATAGTAAATATTTAGCAATATTTATATTAACACACTATTCAAACTCAGATTCCATCAGTCAACATTCATGCAATTTTTGGTGTCATGAACAATATTTTGGGTTTGGGAGAGGCTGTTTTTTGTTTTTGTTTTTTTTTTTTTTTCGTTTTCCTAAGACTCTCACAAAAAATTCTTGACAACCATTCTATCCAGAACCTGCCAGCTCAGAAGAGAAAGAGCACATTTCCTATTATAATTTAAATACAACATTTTGGCCTTTAAAATCCATGGGGAAGTAGAAAATTTATCAAGTATTGAAACCCTGCAAACAACCCCTCCCTTGGCTTTCCTCACCCCAACTCCATCACCTTCTCAGGCAAGCTCTCAGACACCAGAGGTCACTTCTGTGTCTTGGGACTCGTGTTTGTTTGTTTCTGCAAGTGATCCTACTCTCTTCCTTTCCTTCTCCAAATGACCTGGGCTCAGGATAACACATTTCCTGTGTCTCCTCCCTATGTCATCTCCACTTTATCCGATTTCTCTTTACAGATTGGTGTCTGAATGCTAGGTAGAGTCTGTCTGAGACGTATGAAAACCCAGTTTCAGTTCTCCTAGCATCTGCTCCAGAAAGACTGACATCCTGGGTAACCTCAGCTCTGGGGACAAGCACACAGTGGCCTGGGGAAGGCTCAAATGTTTCTCACCGCATCACTGGTACAGAATGCTTTCTCAGCCTTATTGCATGTACTGCTTGTCCAGAACAAGAAGCAAGATACCCCATTTATTATAATCCTCCTTAGCAGATTCAGTATTTTTATTATAGGCCAAATATTTTTTGGTCCCAAATATTTTTGGTCCATGATAGCTTTAGTTTCCTCATCTGTAAAGGTAGGGCATAGTAATTTCCTGTCCTCCAAGGGCTGCTCAGGAGGTTCTATTGAGCTACCTAAGTACAGGATTTAGAATGAAGCCCACACCTATTTGATTCTTGCTGTGTAACTACTGTGGAGGTTATTGGTTTATACAGGTTGTGATAAAACTCTTGTCACACCAAGAGTCCTTCCTCTGGCCAACTCTGCCAGGCAGATCTCCATCCCTTCCCCAACAGCCCTCACGCAGCAGCTCCTGGAAGGATTTGTTTTTGTTCAGTGCTGGGAATTGAATCCTGGTCTCACACATGCTAAGCAAGTGCTCTACCTCTAAGCTGCATCCCTATCCTTTAAAAAGTTATTATTATTTTGTTTTGAGACAAGGTCTTTCTAAGTTGCCCATGCTGGCTTTGATCTTGCAATCCTCCTGCCTCAACCTCCCAAGTAGGTGGGATTACAGGTGTGCTCCATGATACTCAGCTCAGAACGGTTTTGTGTCTTATTCTTCTGGAAGCCTCCCTCTCATCTAAGGATGCTCACTGTACCTGTTCTAGTGAGTGAGCCCCTGTTGGCTCTCTGACAGAGTTCTCAAAACTCTAGTTCCTTACCAGCTTTCTAATGGACCAAATATCTCAGCCCGCCCCCCAAATTAATTTCTACTAAAATTAAACTTGACAAAAGAGATTTTTGACACACTGTATGAGGGATCACCGCTGTGCTCTACTTTCAATAAAATGGAAGGACACATCCACACGAGTACAAAAGAGCACTCACATTCAAAAGAGCTGAAGATTTTACAAATCCTGATTAGTATTTCAGACAAAACTAAATCTGAAATGCCCATATGCCAATTAGTTTTTAAAATCACATATCAAAAGTTTTGGGGAAAAGACTGTGACACAAAGAATTTGATGTGAACAAAAGAATTGTAAATGAGGTTTGCTTTTAGATAAACCCGTAAAAGAATAAACTATTCATTTGTTTAAATGAGAGACCTGACATGAGTTTGATTGTGTGAGAGCTATATTCCTCCTCAATTTTTAAGGTTAAAAAAAAATCATTCATTTGATTACATACTGAACAATTTTGCAAAGCAAAGCATAACTGGAAGTGCTGAAAATTTGCCATCTTGCATACTGTATAAAATTCATGCAAGACCCCTTGGTCTTATGATTGATAAATCAATTTTTTACTCTAAAAAAATTGTAAGAACAAGTTTCTGTGTTTTATCTAGTGCCACTTCTAGTCATCATTATTTCTTTAAACACCATCTATTGTAGGACAATATCACTCACTTTAATTTTTGAGTTCTTTTTCTACTTCTAAATAAAACCAAAGTGATGTATGTGGCACTGTTATTAAGAATTTCCAGGGAAATTTATTTCAGAGCACAGAATTGCTCTTGTTTTCTCTTAGCAAATGCTTCCAAGCATTTAGACTTGGATTGCTTAAACTTAGCATCAGACCAAGAATGATGATGAATCCAAGATTTAAAATGCAGAAGCAATCTAATTAAATGTATGCACTGAAATTTCCTTGGATTTGTTTTCTCTTCTGCTACATCAACCATATTTCAGACTGTCTCTCTTTGCCTTCTCTTTTCTCATGCCAAAATGTTGCAACATGTTCTAGATGAAAGTTTACAGCCAGGGTAAGATTTAGTAAGAACTCCATCAATGGTTCAGAAACGAAAGCAGCAGTGAGCTGAGCGACGAGGTGCGCCCCCTCAGCTGTCTCATCCTTCTCTGCCAGATTTCCCTCAGGTGGGCTATCATCTCTGCAGAGCAGGGGGTGCCTGCAACTGGTGTCCAGTGAAAGGGAACTTACCACATGGCGGAGCAGTCAAAATTCACCAAAAGCCACTTGTGGGGATTAAAATTAAATGAATCTGCAAACTGTCAAAGAATAAGAACAATAAAAAGTAAACTAGTTATAGATGTTTCAGTATAAAAGAAGACCTTTAAAAGTTTACATTTTTAAAAGTTTACATTTTTCAAAGGATAAAAAAGTACAGTTAAAATATACTACAGGGAATCAAAATAAATAGAGTTTATATTCCAAATGAAAGCACTTTCAGATTTTATATGGTCTAAAGTCACATCAAAATTTTCCATATTTTGGGCTGGAATTGTAGCTCAGTGGTAGAACACTTGTCCTGTCATGGGAGGCACTGGGTTTAATCTTCAGCACCACATAAAGATAAATAAATAGAATAAAGGCATTGTATCCATCTACAACTAAAAATACATTTTTAAAAAATGTATCTTTATTGTATTTCAAAGTACTAGGATATTTGGAATATTCAGTTCACAAGTACTATGTCTAGAAATTGTACTTACTGTGCTCATGAAATACTTTTATGTCCACAGTTCTTTCAACTCCATGATGTAGCAAGCAGAGTTCTTAGATTATATGTATCATCATGAACCAGGAGAAAGTGAAAATTTCATAACTAATTTACAGTAATTAGAAACTCATTTTTTTTTCATGCAATTGATTAGTTCCTTTGCCAACATGCCATAAGATTACAACTCTTCCCCTTTACCTAAGTATTTTTCTCTATTCTTAAAAACAATATCCAAGTTTATTGTATTCCTAAAAGTTATAGATTCCATGGCTGGAAGATCATGTGTAGCAGCTGCAAACAACCAAGCAGCAGCTTCATCCACCATATTTTCAAGGAGAAAAAGAGAGATTTCAACTACCTCGAGTGGCTGCGGAGGGCACTGTTCATCCTCACTGAACTGCCATACATGAGACTTTCTTCGATTTTTCAAAATACACCCTCTGGTTTACCATCTGATTGATAAATAGGAACTAAGTTCATCAGAAATGCAGGGGATTTGGACACATGTCTAAAGACATAATGAAGCAGAAATAGAGGGAGGTGCCATTGCGCAGCCAGTCTGGCCCCATCATCTAACGGGAAAAATTCTCAATCTGTCCAAGCCTTGACCCGTCTTCTCTATTTGGTTCCTGGGATGGGCACTGAGGAGGCAGCAAAGATTGAAGAGGCCAGGTCAGCATCAGCAGGGAGACATTTGGTCAGCAGATGGCAACCTTCCACATCGACCTACTCTGGAGGTACATATTCATTTCCTTCCAGGTTTCAAAAAAAGTAATTTTGAGAAAGAGACAGGAAATTACAGCAAGTTTCATTTGTTGATAAAAGGAAACAAAAGGTTAAAGAGGAGCTTTGTTTGCTAGGAATTTTATTAGTTCCCTCCTCTGAGGCTGATCTGTTTAAACTTCTTTCATTACCCAACAGTGACATTTTCCTCCCGCTGACAGAGAGAAAGCCTCTTATCTCCAAGGGTAGGGCCACCACAGGATATTGCAGCTCGCTTATCTGACCCACTGAGCAGCAAAGCCCTCAGCCAGGCGAGGAGAGAGTCCAGAACAATAATGGAGGAAAAATTGAAATGACTCCTTGTTGGGCACGAAACACTGTCTGCTGTTGATAGGATCTGGTGGGAGTGCTCATCTCGGAGGTGGTCTGACTGCTAGGCACCCTTCTATGAAAGGAAAAACTTCAAGTTGTCAATCCATGGGGAAAAGAAAAGCAGGGGTAGGAAAAGATCATGAAACTCTCAAACCTGACACCTGGAGTTAGATTGGAGCTTCTGGCCCAGGCCTTGCTCTGGAGAGAAGCACATAAATTCAAGAAGAATTTCCCTGAAGCTGTCCAGGGACAGTCTTTCCAAGCAATGAGTATTATCTCCATAATTAAAGGTATTTGCATGGCACAGGTTGAGTATCCTTTATCCAAATTCTTGGGACCAGAAGTGTTTCTGATTTCGGATTTCTTGCATTTCAGAATATTTGCATATACATAATGAGAGAGCTTGGTTGAAGGGACCCAAGTCCAAATATGAAATTCAAATATGTTTCAAGATACGCTTTATACACATAGCCTGAAGGTAATTTTATACAGTATTTTTAAAGTTTTGTGTGTGAAGCAAAGTTTCACAGTGTGAAAATTTCCATTTGTGATGTCATGTCAGAGATCAAAAAGCTTCAGATCTTGGAGTCTGGATTTTTAGATTAGGAGTGATCAATCTATATAGAAATTTATTCTTCATTTTCTAGCACTAAGCATCCACAAAACTAGCTATCAGCAATGAACTATAGAGGGGCTGGTATTCCCATCACATTATGAGAACATCTTGCAAGCTAACCCCCACTCCAGGACTTACATATGTTTCTGGAAGCTTCATTTATCCTCAGGGATCCCTCTAAGCCCTAGCATGTATGAAGCACTTGATAAGCAATTGGTGAATGAATAAATATGATGAGATATAAACAAGAATGACACTTTATTCATTAGTAATAAGGGGATTATTCTCTTCAAAGATGGGGCTTTTGTATTCTATACCTCAGACATTCACTTTTCTGGTTTTACAGCACTATGAAAATTCAAAACAGTAATTAGAAAATTGATTGGTAAGCCTGACCCTGACATGCAAGCAGAGAGAGGTTTTAAGGAAAATTCTCCAAGCAATGGTGAAAAATAATAAAAGCATCTAATGCATGCTCAGTACTTCCTGTGTGCCAGACTGTTCTTAAGCCCTTTAAATATGATTGACTCATCTACTCGTTATGACAACCTCATAAAAGAAGCATCATTATGAAATACATTTTATGAGACATAGAGAGAATACCTAACTTGCCCAAGGGTGCACAGCTAGTTCTAAATGATCAAAACTGTAACAGAGCCCCAGTCTCCCCAGTATCCTGATTAATTTTTTTTCTTTTTTGGTGGCTGAAATTCCTTAAGCTGAGGATGGAAACTGAGGAACTGGCCCCCAAATCTTGGTGGGTACCATCAAAGGTTGAAACACTGGAATCAGTGAGGCACTGTGGTGTACGCCTATAATCCCAGAGGCTTGGGGAGCTGAAGCAGGAGAATTTTGAGTTCAAAGCCGGCTTCAGCAACTTAGCAAGGCCCTAAGCAACTTAGCAAGAACCTGCCTCTAAATAAAATAATATTTTAAAGGGTGGGGGCTGGCCATGTGGCTCAGTGGCTGAGTGCCCCTGGGTTCAATTCCTGAAATCAAAAAAAAAAAAAAAAGGAAAAGAAAAGCTCGAATCCTAACTCTAACTCCTGGAATCATAAATCCTAACATATTATTTGGCTAGCTGCTCAATTAAATCTACATATGCATACTTCCTATCTTGTCCACTGTATCCCATTCCTCTCATAAAAGCTGTTCATGCCTTTGAGCCCTCGCAAAATGGAGATTCGAAACAGAAGAGGTTTCTTCTATCTTCCCCAGCGCCAGTTTTGAATAAACTTGTTTTCCTTCATCAACCTCTGCCCTCTCAACTTTGGTTGAGCTACAAGAGCAGAACCTGCAATTCTGGTAACAAAACCAGGGATTCTAATGGAAAACCCTGCACCATTCATCCTAATCACATGCAGGGGGAGATCTCACCAAGCCTTCCACCCGTAAGCAGAAAGCAATTATTTCCTGGTCAATACTACGACTCCCCTGATTCAGTATCTCCTTCCCTGGACACATTTCCAACAGCAGCTTCTTAGAACCCTTCATTGCTTTCTGGGGAGGAAGGCTTTGTACCCTGTGAGTTGTTACAAGGACGAGTCTAAAATAACACGTCAGCATAGCCACAGGTGCAAGTCTGTACCACTTCATGTTCCATAGTTCTCTGGAAAAGCAGAGAACTGATCAATAATTTTGATTGCTATTTCTCACGTGAAGCAGGTATTTTACTTGGCTTTATGGGCCACATTTTATAATTTCCTGAAGGGTGCATGGGGACTTTAAAATCTTTGGTAGCTGCTGATGTTGGTTAAAGTAACCATCATGCTCAGATGTAGGAGTTGAATGTGAATAACACACTGAGCCAGATTGTAGATGATTCCAGGTTGGGACTTCAAATTATCTTGTGAATAAAATGCATTAAATTTTTATTTTGTTCCTAAATATTTTCCCATAATTTTGTAAGTTAAATGTAACCTATTAAGCATAACTCTGCCCAGGATGTCGTAGACTGAAAAATAGCTGTCAAAATCCGGAGGACCTCAAAAAGACAGGCTGTTTGACTTGTAGGACTGGAGAAAGTTCTCAGCCCTTACCCTGAGGAAGCATAATTTCCAATAATCAGTGGAATTGATTGGAAAATGACTTGCTGAAACAAACCACAACAGTGAGAAATTGAGTGTCAGATCTTCATAAAGGATAAACATAGTGCTTAAAAAAAAAAAAAACCAACTTGGTCTGGGAGGCATAGCTCAGTGGTATAGTGTTATCCAGCATGTGTAAGGCTCTGGGTTTGACTGCCAGCACCTCACACAGATGTAAAACAAACAAACAACAAGAAAATTCACCTTATTACACAGTAAAAATCTCACCCACCTCCACTCCGTTCAGAAGATGCCGGAACTCAGGGCAGATGAAGGCACTGCCTGCGTATGCAGCATCAATGTGCAGCCACATGTCCTCCTTCTTGCCTGAAGCCAGAAACAATTGTTGAGTTCTTACATGGTCACCCTGTCCATGTGTAGTCAGATAGATGACCTCATCCTACCCAGGATCCTTTTTGTAAATATAGCTCATCCATAGTATTTGTGGAATTAATGAATGGATCCCCAAAGGGCCCCTGTCCTTAGAAGTACTGAAGCTGAGAGCAGAGGTGTGTGCCGTTGGCCCTGGACACACGCCAGCTGCTCAGTGAGTGATTGGAAAGTAAGGGAGACAGAATCCATTGCCAAACCCTCACTGCTCAGTACAGTGCTTAGGAGCCAGCAAGCGCCACCTCTGCCCCCCTTTTTTACCCTTTCACTGTCTTCAAGGGACACCACCTTTTACAGTCCTCCCTGATCTCATCCACCCAGAATTTCCTCCCCTATCCTCTTTGCCAACCCATTCTCAAGTTCTCACAACATCCTCTAACGAAAGGTCTGGCACACAATCCATATGCTCTGCCCCACTCCATCACCACCATGAAGTTAGTCATCTTACACTATCTTTAATCATGAAGTGGATTTCTGTTTTCCAATCATACCAAAAGAGCCTGGAAGCAGGGGCCAAGCTTTTGTGGGGAGTGAGAGAGCCTCATGCACAGGGATGCTCCCCAAATTTGGACATATCTGGGTTCAGCTCCTGCTCCAATTGCTCAGAAGCTTTATGATTTTGTCTGCTTCCTCCAAGGTCCATTCTCCTCAAAGGCAAAATGGACATCCAAGTTGTACCCATAACTCTGAGCAATAAATTAAGTAATCTTCACAGCATGCCTATCACAACCCTCAGCACAAGGCTGGTGAGAAATAAATGCATTTTCCATGACTAGTCTTTCCTTCATCCCAGGCACCAGTTAATCACAAGATAGGTGAGAATTGCGGAGCGGGTGGGAGGAAGCTGTGCCCTGTACAGATGAGGGTGCCAGATGTCAGAGTCAGCACCCGTACTTGTGCTGATCAGCAGAGCCACCCTTCACTTTTCCATATATGATTCTCATGAACCAGTGTACTTTGAGGAGAGATAAGTCACTCTGAACTCTGCTGATAAAAGATACAAAAGACATCTTAAATCTTTGACTCGGTTTGATCTTCAGGATTAAAACTCTCAGTTGGATCAAGATCAAATGTGTTGTAAGGGCACACGTCAGGGCACCATAGCCAAAGACCGTTGTGCAGAGGGTGACCTGAATGGCCTGAAGCAAGGCTTATTGGCCAAGATGTCTGGGTTCATCACCTCTCCAACAATCAGACCCAACTGGTGGTCACATGACCCCATGTGCATGAGGCAGGAGACAAGGCCCTAGCATAATATGGGGCTTCTTCCTGAAGAGTCATTCAGGAGATGACGACAGGATGACTAGAACAGCTACAGCTCAGATGTGTGTGGGGTCAATAGAAACTTCACATTCCTTTATAAGAGAGGGCACAGAATTTCATAGCATGCTATGGCAGACCTTGTGTTCCTCCCAAACCATATGTTGAAATCCTAACCCCAGGGGAAATGGTGTTAGGAGTGGGGCCCTTGGGAGGTAGTTAGCTCATCAGAGTAGACTTCTAAAACTGGGATTAGCATTCTCATAAAAGAGACCCCAGAGAGCCCCATGCCTGTCATCATGTAAAGACACACAGATGGCACCATTTGTGAACCAGGAAATGGGTTCTCACCAGACATTGAATCTGCCAGAGCATTGATCTTGTATTTTCAGCCACCACGAATATGAGGTAACAAGTTTCTGTTGTTTATAAGCCACCTGGTCTATGGTATTTTGTTAAGCAGCCCAGATGGACTACGGGCAATTTTGGTCTTCCCATGGGAGCTGCTTGGGCCACACACAGACTTTTAGTGATGGAATTTCCTTTTCTCTTTGAGGCCCTCTGGTAGAATTTGATAGATGTCAATGTTTGTGTTCAGTTCAGGACTGTTGGATGAAGGCAGGAGGCAGAGCAAGACTCCAAGACTGAACAGGAAGATGGATGAACACACCAGACACAGGATGGGAGGAGCAAGGGGCAGGATCCAGATGGAGTCAAGGAGCTTCTCTTTCTTTCTTACTCCTTGTTCTTCCTCCCATAGCCACCATGCATAGGCATTGGTGGGTAACACAGCAAAATAGAGAAGAGAAAGAAAGGCACTCAGTCCCACAACCCCTCAGTTCACAGCACCTCCTCCAGAATGTCCAGAGGGGAGATGAGGTCCTGAACCCCAGGATGGGATCAAGAAGGATGTCAGCACCCAAGCCATCCCAGAATGCATCAGACACCTGGGGAGGGGGTGATGGGTAAGAAAAGACCAAGGGAACTAGTGAGAGAAGGGAAGGGGGCACCAGATAAAAGATATGCAATAAAGATGTAACTTACCACCAAAGCATCTAGCCTTTGCCCTTGGCTCCTGGGAGTTGGGCCACTGCTTAATACAAGAATGTCCTGCTTAATACAAGTTCCTTTTTTTGCCTGGGCCTTTGGCATCAGATAATCTCAATATGATTTATGATGGGGGCACTGGACTATGCCATATCAGTTCTGACCTTTTGAGAAATTGATTACTAAAGGTATTAGCTGGGCTTCCAAGAGGAACTGGAGACCAAAGGTCAGCCAAGCAGGCAGAGTATGATCAAGGCCCTATGAGAACTGACAAGAGACCTAGGAACATGGCTCAGTGGTAGAACTCTTGCCTGGCATGAATGAGGCCGGGAGTTCAATCTCTAGCACCACAAAAATATTTTTTAAAAAGAATAAAAGTAAATCCAACAGAAAAGAGTCTGGTGAATTTGCATGCTAGAAAAATCTCCCTTCTCTATGCATATGGTTAGACATTGTGACTGAGAGAGTCCATGCCCTCATGACTCCATGGAAGAGGATCACCAGAAGCTCCATGTTCGCACACTCCTGGTCTCTGACCTGTGTGTCTCCTCCTTGGCTGATTTTAATCCCTGCCATAAACCATAACCAGGAGCATAGCTTTTACTGAATACTGTTAGTCTTTTAGAAGACGATCAAACCTCAAGGAATTGGTGGGGAAGATTTAAACTTGGAATAGGTGTCAGAGTGAGGGCAGTCAGAGCAAGGTGGTCTTATGGACCACCCTTTAAGCTTGTATTGGCCTAAAATTCCAACAGAAGGGAACTCATAGACACTCCTTGTAAGTTCTTTCCATGTCGGCTTCTCTTCTGCCCTGGGGAAGAAAAGCCTGGTTGATGCCACCTCTGTCATGTGCACCTTGTACGTGATTGGTTGACACACACATTTCCTTCGCACATATGTGGGCACATCTAGGAACTGGGTGGACACAGAAGATCCACAGCCAGAGCTAGAGGAGTTGCATGGGTCGGTGATACAACTAGCTCTTGAGCAAGGTCACCTGGGTGGAGAGGACAGGGGCTACCTCCACAGCCTCCTGCTACAGGCACCTGTTTTCTTACAAGGCCAGGTTGCCCCTCCAGCTTCATGCTCTCCTCCCGGCCATCCTGACCCTCAGGACAGAGTTTTGTCTGCCTCCCCTACACTGTTCCCCTTCCTCATTCCCTGAGACCACCTCACCTATTCAGCCATGTCTCAGTCTCAGTTTCCACACTTGCACACCTGGCTTCTAACTGTCATCAAGTATCTTCTTGTTGTATCTCACTAGAACCTTCCTGGGCAACTACCTTGTCCAAGTGAACTAGTAGCAACCACTTTTTTGGGGAAATCATTTTCAAAGTGACTAAAAAGAAACTGTCTTTCCTAAGACAGAAATTTGAGGGCAATCATCTTCTGCTTTGTTTCTTTGTCAAATGATGGTGGTTGAAAAACTTCCTTGAATTGTTTTAATAGATTATTTTAATCATACTCTAAGGTGAGGTCAGCTCAGGGTCTCAGAAAAGGCAGCTTGGGTTTGAAGAATGGTAACTCTTTGAGGATAGTCAAATGAGAGGTATGAGATGAGGAAAATTAGGTTAAAAAGGTACTGTCTGAATTGCTAAGGCAATACCAACCCAAAGTTAGTAATTTCATCTTCAAGTACAAAACTATGGCAATGGATGAAAGGGTTTTGCCTTCACCTGTGTCAGCTCCCCAAGCATAACTTAGAAGCAACCTCTGGGCTTCAACCAAACATAAACAAAAGCCAAGCTCTACCCACAGCCTCCAGACCCTGCAAAGCAGAGGGAGCTCCAGGACAGCAGGACCGTGGAGATGCAATCACTGGGTCATCACAAATGGCAGATGTCACCTGCTGGTTATCATCACCTGCTTCCACTGGTGGACAGCGATCTGCTCAGGGGGCAGCAGCCACAGAAGACCTTGGCCCTTTAAATTTGATAGCCCTAGGGAATTACATCACCCAGCTTTTGGCCAGGACATTCAGTTCTTAGCCTGACGTCTGAGTCAGAGGACTTCGAGTTGCTTGGCTGAGCCAGTGCAGGTTTGCAGTTAAGGAGGCCAATGCTACACCGAAACCCTGTGCCGGCCAGTTAGTTCTGTCTCTTCTTCTCCACCTGGTTGTGTTTGGCTGCCTTCAGCCATAGCTCATAATGGGTGGAGCAAAATCCTGGGTGAACGGGAAAGTGTGTACCCACCCCACTTCCCAGAGTACGTAACTAGCATTGCATTCCCTATAGCACAAGCAACACTGTCCACCTTTAACAAGTCGTCCCCCTGCATTATCTCATCCTCGGAACAATCCTGTGAAGGAAATATTTTTTTTTTCAATGACAACTGATGATTTTCCCTCCAATTTTGAAATATGGAAAATGAAATTCAGAATTTAAGGCACACAGCTGTAAGGGGCAGGCCTGGGCTGGATGGACCACAGCTTCTCTGTGGCCAGGGCCATGGTCTCCCACCATCACTGCAGAGTACCTAAAGCACCCACTTTCCCCAGACACTAACCAGAGGACAGTAGCCCTGAGGAGGAGGATCCACTCCTGAGAGCAGACCACAGGAGCAACCTGGGTTAGGAGATATGAGAAACGTACTTGATGTATGCAGACCGAGAATTGGGCCTAGTGCCAAGCAAGTGGCATGTTGCTTGGCATAAGACATAGGCATGATAGTCTGAGAGTCTGACATTTTTTGTTCTTTTATTTATTTATTTATTTATTTATTTAATTTTGGTACCAGGGATTGAACCCAGAGGTTCAATAACCACTGAGTCACATCCCCCAGCCCTTTTTATTTTCTTATTTTGAGACAGAGTCTCACTGGGTTACTTAGGGGCGTGTTAAGTTGATGAGGCTGAGTTTGAATTTGCAGTCCTCCTGCTTCAGCCTCCTGAGCCCCAGGATTATAGGTGTACGGCACCATGCTCAGCCTGAGAGCCTGACTTTGAGGCAGCTCTACCTGGAATGTTTATATCCGAGGGACAAAGAAAGGGAGAGTTTCATGGACCAGTGTCTCCTTGGTGCCCAAGGAGAGTTTTCCCATCCTTAGAAAGAGCTCCAAGGCCTGTGGAGTTTCCAGAGTCTCCCACTGAAGTTGAAACTTTACAAACACAGCCACTTATTCATGTTGTACCTTGGGAAGCAGAATCATAGTCTCCATGAGAAAACCGAAGTGCTTGAAGGGAGGAAGAGGTAGGCGTGAGTCAGCACATCATGTGAATCACAGAGTATTCTTTGGAGAAATCCAGTTTCAACCTATTGATTTGCTAAATTACTTTAAGCAATCTGCTTAAGTACATTCAGCACAGCCATGTGTTGTTGAATGATGGGCTAGGTCCTGAGAAATAAGTTGGTCATTTGGCGATTTTGTCACTGTGAGAACATCATAGAGTTCTTACACAAACCTAGATGGTCCAGGCTGCTGCACACCGAGGCCATATGGCATATACCATCCTATATGTGGTCTGTCCTCAATAGAAATGTTATATAGTGCATGATTGTAATGTTAAAATGGCAGGGAGGGGGGGTAGTGCTAAAAAATATGCCACAAAACTCAATGTAAGCAAGAGCAATATAGATGTCACGTATATATAATGAAACCTCATATGATGGTAGTTGCTTTAAGATGTTGAAGAATTTATTCTCCTCAACAGGGCCAGCGTAGCCTGCAATTTTGTAACATTATGATATTGCTTGTAGCATTTTTTTTCCATGCAGATAGAATGTTGGTGTACTTAAGCTCAGCTCTTGTCCAACTATACCAAATTCTGAGTTTTTAGAATTCTAGTCAATGAGGTTGTAGTATTGGAAATGCAAGAAGAGTTCGAAAAATCATCACAATATGAAATGAATGATAAGGAATAAAATCCAAAAAGAAAGGTTGGCTAAGAACAGTTTTTAAAAAGAATATGTAATTAGATACTTACAGATAGGGCCGACTTCTAATAGATTGTCAAAAGAGCAGCAAGACGTGGTCCCCAGAGTAGCAACCACCTGGAGAGTAGAGAGACAACCTTTGAAACTCTCTTGTGTTAGTCATTGCTATAACTTCCACATGTACAACCATTGCCGGGGGCTAGCCCAGGATCTTAACTTGGTGCTCAATGAATGGAAATCCAAAAATGCATGCTTAATGAAAGTATCCTTGCAGGTTAAGAGAAACAAACTTGCAGACAGAAACCTGAGAAGTAAAATTAGATAATAGAGAACTTGGAAAAGATTTCCCATGTATGATGCCTTAGGATATGGATAGATAATCCTACATTCTATTTTTTAAACATATCTATTTAATATAAGAACATAGTTTCTACTATGATGAAAGTTTTTTCCTCACTTGGGGTTAGGCAGGAGTGTGTGGGCAGAGCAGAGAACTACACATCAGAAATAATCCTTGTTCCAGCAAGGCTGGAATTGCCCAAGGCGTCAGTGAAATGATTCTTTTAGAAGAGCCTTTGGGATCTGTTAAGAACCACATCAGGGCATTGACCAAGAGTATCAGACACTAACTTTTATCTGCCCCACTTCCCATCCTGATACTCTTCCCAAAAGATTAACTTGGGCTGTCAGAAGATTCATGAGGAAGCACGCTGTTGTTGAAAATAATTATGAGAGCAGTGTTCTGAAAAAGCACTGAGAGCTGTAGATCACATAACTAGGAAATGTGGTCCAGCATTCACTGGGCTCTGTCCTGTCCCCTGACCACCTTGAGCTGCTGTGACTACACCAGCACTACCTATGCTGTTCTCCTATGACTCACTCACTGTCTCTCTAGACCCATGATGCTCCTGAAACCACGGTCTGTGTCTTATTTCTTTGTAATGCTGGAAATTTGCTCTATGCATAACACAGAATAGATGCTTAAATATATTTGCTGAGTTGAAATTCTCTCCAAATGAAAAAAAAAATAACATTTCCAAAAGCAAAGAGTCTAATTGATTTATGGATGTCCTATACTGTCTGGACAATGAAGTTATTCCTTATATATGACAATAGTGTAAAACTTAACACAATGTATGCAGCCTCTATCAAGCCCCCACTAAGGTCTTAGCAACACCATGAGCCATAAGAATAAAGTTGGAGAGGTCAGGAATTCACATGTAAGAACCCCAAGCGTAGGTCTTCCTGGTTCCATCTCACCTATGACTACCTTCGATTGATCTGAGAGACAAATTCACTTCAGTGAGAATCAATATGTTTTTGCCAAGGTAGCATGGCATCTGCCTTTGGGTAGCTCATCCAACTGGTCCTGTCTGGGCAAAATAATGTCGGGGCACCAGAGTTCCCCTGCTGCCCAGTCATTCATAGGATGTTCAGGTGCTGTTTGGGCATAGTTCCCTTATCATTGAACTGTGCCCAAGCAGAGTCAACTCCACAAGAGGTTACTCACAGGCCCAGAAGAGGCAGGCTGTTGCAAAATGTGGGTTTTATCATTATTTAAGTTTGGTGAGCCCAGTAGATCAGGAGATGACTGCCAGTGAAGTTAGCTTGTCTTTCATGGTACTCAAGAGGAGGACCATGAGCTTCCAATCACTCCTGCAAGGTAGACGGGCCTGCGACCCACTGGCAGAAGAGGAGCAGCGGCCTGCTGAGAGGCTGAGCCGCCCCCTCCCCCTGCGCCGGCAAAGTAGAGGGAACTGTGACCATGCACAGATCAGGCCCAGCGGCCTGCTGAGGGGCAGAGCCGCCCCACACCCCCCGCGCCTGCCAGGTAGGTGGAACTGTGACCACCGACAGAAAAGGCCCAGTGGCCCGCGGCGGGACAGAGCTTCCAATCACTCCTGCAAGGTAGGCGGGCCTGCGACCCACCGGCAGAAGAGGAGCAGCAGCCTGCTGAGAGGCAGAGCCGCCCCCTCCCCCTGCACCGGCAAGGTAGAGGGAACTGTGACCACGCACAGAGCAGGCCCAGCGGCCTGCTGAGGGGCAGAGCCGCCCCACACCCCCCGCGCCTGCCAGGTAGGTGGAACTGTGACCACCGACAGAAAAGGCCCAGTGGCCCGCGGCGGGACAGAGCTTCCAATCACTCCTGCAAGGTAGGCGGGCCTGCGACCCACCGGCAGAAGAGGAGCAGTGGCCTGCTGAGAGGCAGAGCCGCCCCCTCCCCCTGCGCCAGCAAGGTAGAGGGAACTGTGACCACCCACAGAACAGGCCCAGCGGCCTGCTGAGGGGCAGAGCCGCCCCCCACCCCCCGCGCCTGCCAGGTAGGCGGAACTGTGACCACTGACAGAAAAGGCCCAGTGGCCCGCGGAGGGGCAGAGCTTCCAATCACTCCTGCAAGGTAGGCGGGCCTGCGACCCACTGGCAGAAGAGGAGCAGCAGCCTGCTGAGAGGCAGAGCCGCCCCCTACCCCCCGCGCCTGCAAGGTAGACGGAACTGTGACCACCATCAGAACAGGCCAGACCTGCAACCGAGAGACGGAACAGGCCCAGTGGCCTGAGGAAGGGTAGAGCCGCCCCCCCCACCCCGCGCCTGCAAGGTAGGCGGACCTGCGACCCACTGGCAGTACAGCCCCAGAGGCCTGCAGAGGGGCAGTGCCGCTGCCTGCGCCTGCAAAGTAGACAGAACTGTGACCACCGACAGAACAAGCCTAGCGGCCTGCAGAGGGACAGAGCCGCCGCCCGCGCCTGCAAGGTCGGCGGACCTGCTACCGACCGGCAGAGCAGGCCCAGCGGCCTGCCGGCGTGGTAGGCACATTGCCCCAATTGGAGGAGGGGCAGAGCCGCCGCCCGCGCCTGCAAGGGAGACTTTGCAACTATACAAGACCAATATAAATATATAGGGGGAAAATATAGGTGAACAGTATGAAGAGACAAGGAAAGAAAGGACCACAAGCATTGCAGGTCAACTCAACGTTAGAAGAGGTAATAGCTGCAGCAGATGGAATGTCAGATAAAGAATTCAGGATATACATGCTTCAGATGATCTGGAGTCTCAAGGAAGACATCAGACAGCAAAATCAGACAATGAAAGATCACTTCAACAATGAATTACATAAACAAATCCAAGAAGCAAAAGATCAACTATACAGGGAAATAGAGGTTATAAAAAACAAACAAACAGAAATCCTAGAAATGCAGGAAGCAATAAGCCAACTTAAAAACTCAATTGAGAATACTACCAGCAGAGTAGAACACTTAGAAGACAGAACATCAGACAATGAAGATAAAGTATTTCAACTTGAAAAGAACATAGACAGCTCAGCAAGACTGTTCAGAAACCATGAGCAGAACATCCAAGAAATATGGGATAACATCAAGAGACCAAATTTAAGAGTCATTGGGATACAGGAAGGGACAGAGTTTCAAACCAAAGGAATGAGCAATCTATTCAATGAAATAATACGAGAAAACTTCCCAGACTTGAAGAATGAGACAGAACCCCAAATCCTAGAAGCCTACAGGACGCCGAATGTGCAAAATCATAAGAGACCCACACCTAGACACATTATAATGAAGATGCCCAACATACAGAATAAGGAGAGAATTCTAAAAGCTACAAGAGAAAGGAAGCAGATCACATTTAGGGGTAAGCCAATCAGGATAACAGCTGATCTTTCAACACAGACTCTGAAAGCTAGAAGATCCTGGAATAACATATTTCAAACACTGAAAGAAAATGGGTTCCAACCAAGAATTGTGTTTCCAGCGAAATTAAGCTTCAGGATGGAAGATGAAATTAAAACCTTCCACGATAAACAAAAGTTAAAAGAATTTGCAGCTAGAAAACCATCTCTTCAAAACATCCTTGGCAAAACATTACAGGAAGAGGAAATGGAAAATAACAATGAAAACCAACAGTGGGAGGTAGGACACTAAAGGGGGGAAAATAATCAAAGAGGAAAACAAACCATGTTTAGTAACAGAAATAAACAAATATGGCTGGAAGAACAACCCATATCTCAATAATAACCCTAAATGTTAATGGCTTAAACTCACCAATCAAGAGACACAGGCTAGTAGAATGGATCACAAAACAAGACCCAACAATATGCTGCCTACAGGAGATGCATTTGATAGGAAAAGACATACATAGGCTGAAGGTGAAAGGTTGGGAAAAATCATATCACTCATATGGACTTCGGAAACAAGCAGGAGTATCCATACTCATATCAAATAAAATAGATTTCAAGCCAAAGTTAATCAAAAGGGATAAAGAGGGACACTACATACTGCTCAAGGGAACCATACACCAACAAGACATAACAATCATAAATATATATGCCCCAAACAATGGTGCAGCTATGTTCATCAAACAAACTCTTCTCAAGTTCAAGAGTCTAATAGACCACCATACAATAATCATGGGAGACTTCAAAACACCTCTATCACCACTGGACAGATCTTCCAAACAAAAGTTGAATAAGGAAACTATAGAACTCAATAACACAATTAATAACCTAGACTTAATTGACATATATAGAATATACCACCCAACATCAAGCAGTTACACTTTTTTCTCAGCAGCACATGGATCCTTCTCAAAAATAGATCATATATTATGTCACAGGGCAACTCTTAGACAATATAAAGGAGTAGAGATAATACCATGCATCCTATCTGATCATAATGGAATGGAACTGAAAATCAACGATAAAAGAAGGAAGGAAAAAGAATACATCACTTGGAGAATGAACAATAGGTTACTGAATGATCAATGGGTTATAGAAGACATCAAGGAGGAAATTAAAAAATTCTTAGAGATAAATGAAAACACAGACACAACATATCAGAATCTATGGGACACATTGAAAGCAGTTCTAAGAGGAAAATTCATTGCTTGGAGTTCATTCCTTAAAAAAAGAAAAAACCAACAAATAAATGATCTCATACTTCATCTCAAAATCCTAGAAAAAGAAGAGCAAAACAACAGCAAAAGAAGTAGAAGGCAAGAAATAATTAAAATCAGAGCTGAAATTAATGAAATCGAAACAAAAGAAACAATTGAAAAAATTGACAAAACTAAAAGTTGGTTCTTTGAAAAAATAAACAAAATCGACA